AGTATATCTAAGAATATGTTATTTTATATGTGGATATCAATATATGTTAATGAAATAAGTGCTACAGCTATTAAAGGAGGTACAAGTAACCACAAAACCTCTTTGTTTTCTCCAGGTATTAGAGATCTGCATCGCTATACTTGTCCACAAGAGCATCATCGTGTTCAGTCTGTCTGTGAAGCTGGTCCAGAGTGCAGTTCGTCCATTATGGGTGGCTGCTTACATTGGAGTGTTCGCCATGATGTCACCTATAGGCATCGCCATCGGCATCAGTGTGTTGGAGGCTCAGCTGGCAGCTGGAGCACTAATCCAGGCTGTCCTGGAGGGGCTTGCCGCAGGGACTTTTGTTTACATCACCTTTCTAGAGATCCTCCCACACGAACTCAACTCCCCGGGAAGCAGCTTCTGAAGGTGCTCTTCATCCTGCTGGGCTTCAGCATCATGGCAGCTCTGACGTTTTTGGGCTGAGAGTAGTAGTCAAATAAGCCAGTATGCTGGGATGTGACCTGGGTGCATTGTGCCAACAACTGCAGCTTCCACAAGGGTTTGTGTGTGAAGTAGAGTTTTAATGTCAAAGGGAGCATGGCAACAAATGCAGGTATTTTATTTCTTCCAACATACTTTTAAAATATTCATAAAAAGCAGTCCAGTCACTATGTGCATATATAATTTCTCTTTTAGATGATTTTATTTAAAGAGGAAACACTTACTGCAATGATAAGTTTGTTGAATGACTAACTGAAGCACAGAGGGAAGAACTGGCCTCATTTATCACTGGCCTTGTTTCAACATGCTTTGGACCTGCAAACAAACGTCCTCTGACCTTTGACACTATTGAGGAAACCACTGGAAACAAAGGGCTGTGTTACATGTATATATACTTTGTAATTAAGCCAATAATGTCTGGATATCAATACTTCCAGATCTTTAATGTTTACATTTTATTTGAAACAAATTCAATCAGGAAGATTCTTCTTTCCAGAAAGCACTCTTTGTGTCTTCACTTTTGTCGAAGTATTTCATATGATACGTTCTTCACTACAGGCTCAGCTGGATGGTTGGCCTTGTAATTAATGGAGTTTCCTCTGACCCAGATTTTGGTAAATACTGGCATTTTAGTGCAATGATTTTACAGTAGTTTCTTTCATTAGGCTGATTTTACTTCTCATTACAAACTGGATCAGAAATCCAGTAATTTGTCCAGTAAACTAGTGTAAATGTAAAACGGACTCCTTGATGCCTTACAAAGTTGTATGCCAAAAAAGGGGGGGTTGTCAATGATGAGGAAATATGTGGGATTTCATTTTATTAGAACCTGTGATTATCTCCACAAATGAATGAAATGTAACTGGCTTTTAACAACCCCCTTTTTAAACAAGCTGATCACTATTATTATTACTATATGTTGACCTTTTTCATAGTTTGGCCCATTCGTTTTGCCACTTTGCTTTATTAAAACGCGTCTTTGTAGAGTGCTTTTAGTTCTCTATTTTGATTGTAGACAAATACAGAACCTTTAAATGTACCAGTGCACATACTTGTATTTGCATCAGTTAAACAAACCAAGCAGGACACTACAGTACAGCACATTGGGCCAAAACTGTATTTTTCATGGTGTACATGTAAAGTGGCTATAACAAAGAATGGAGTAGGGGAAAAACAAGAAACAGTATAGCACAGTTAACAAACGGTTCTTTATAACTTTCAGCCTTCTTACTCTCAGAGTCAACTAGTTAAGCCCATGTGTGCAGTTACAGCTGTAAACTCTGTTTAGTCTCAATTCCTGTTTTAGTCTGTCATGAGATTGTCACATTGTTTCCTCATCAGGAAAAATAGCAGAAAATTGGATTTTGTGTGGGTTGGTGTCATGTATCAGCAAAAACGTTTTGTGAATGCCACTTCAAATATGGGATTGTGTGCATATTTGCACATCATCAGCATTTCTTCCATTAAAGTTTATCGGATAAACAGTAGTGAAACTCGTATGATAGAACTATTCCCCAAAAGAAATGCCGTTGCTCCAACTGCAGTGTTAATGTGCTTTTTGTCAGAACACCAACCTGTGAATTGTAACATAAAAAGTCATTTGTTTGTAAAGACCAATCAACCACCTTTTTGCAAGTAGACTTACATGTATTATTTTGTGCCTTATTGTTATTCATACTTTGTTGTCTGTTACATAAACTTGATTTAGAGTAAAGATAAAAGGAATTTTCTGCCTATGTGTTTGTTGTATGCAAAAGATGCAGAGCCTGTAATCAGTGTTAGATGGGTTTATAGAATTATGATAAATAAATACACTTAATCCTTTTACTTTTATAATCTAGACATTCTTTAAACATAACTTAAAATTACTCAAGTTACTCTTTCAAGGATAAGATTTACATATTTAAAGTATGCTAAACAAATTTTCATTATAATAAACGTACTGTATATTAATAATTGTCTAAGATATTAGGTAATGTACATATAATAATAACAAAGTAGATGTTAAAAATGTTTACTTTGATTCACTTAAATACAACAAAATCCTGTCCAAAAATAGCACCTGCACTTTAGTCAAGGATTTGTGACACATTAAGTAAAATAATAGTCAGAAATAGGTCTCTTTAGATAAACTAATCATGGATGGAAATATATATACTAAAATTAAACGCAATTTGTATACTTTTTTGTTGTTTACAAGGGCAGTGTGTAATAATTGGGGATAGGGTTGATGCCTATGTATTTGTAGTATAGTGCACCATTTAAGAGCATATTTTACATATTTTAGTTTATCGTCTTCAAATTCTAATCCAGCACTTAAATTAAATTACAGTATTAACTGGTACGAATGTTTCCTTATTCACCAGATTTCTGCTCTGATGTGGGTGTGAGGCCTTTAGACAATGTAAAGAAGATCCCTGGTACCACTAGGTGGGAGTGATGATCCTCTGATTGATAGCCTCCTCCAGTAAGGACAACAGAGGCAGGATTAGAGGAATGGAATATGTTGTAGGAATATACTTCACTGATGCCTGTTTAAGATTACTAATATTATCACTTTTAAAAACCATCTGGCCACCTCACTTATTATGCCTTTTCCAATGAAGAAATTTTGACATGTCACAGTCGGAAAAACACAGGTATAATTAATGAAAATAATGACGGCCAGATTGCATGCTGGCTCACTGTCATAGCTTACCGGGAAACTTCAATAAAACTGAGCTTTATCAATGTTCTTACTAATACCTGTGCTTTTTCCCACTAAGAAAAGTCAAAATGTCTGCTGTGAAAAATACCTTGTAAAATATTCATGTGATTTTAAGCCCTTGTCTTCATAATGGAAACAATCTGACACTAGTGAAAAACTCAGTAGCAGAGTTGTAATAATGAAACAATAAAATGTGATTAGAACCTTCTGTTTCAACTGATAGATAAACCATACATGTAAGGACATTCCCCCCTCTGAACACCTTCAAATTATAGATCACATATTTAAACAGCAGAACAGTCTGATTCATAATGTGGTGTATTCATGTAGTACTCATTTTTATTCACTACATCTCTGTTACTTTTCATTTTTCATACTCTTACTGTCCAGTGAAAATTTATGTATTTCCAGATTTGGACAAACTGAAGGATTAAGCATTCCTTTATAGGTTGAGAATTTCTCCTACTTTTTAACATGGATAGACCTTTTTAAAAGAACTCATTGGACTACCTAGGAAAAAATGCAACTTCACAAAGCTGAAAACAGGTTGTTTTTCTTGACTTTTTGAGATATGTGGTTCTCACAGGACAGCAATGCTACAAATATGATGATCTTGATGATCATAAAATATGATGAATATGATGCCTAAGCTACCCAGCAGTATATGTAAAGTAGTTCAAATGTAACATACACATCAATGCACCAGTAATATTAATCCAGAAACTTCATACATAATTAAAAAAACACTGACAGGGAACATTTTTCTCCATAATGAATACTTTTACTTTTGATACTTAAAATAAATTTTGCTCATAATACTTGTATAGACATGTCTGATGTGATTCATGGAGGCATTGTTAACCCGTTTGTCTCTCTGAGGGAATAGGAGGTTATTCATCCACTAATGAGTGGTGCTGATAGAGGAACAATAGCAGAGTACAGTAAGTCTGCCAGTGCTGGATGACAGAGGCCTCAGTGTGTGGAGGAGGGAGACCCAGCAGAGCATCAAGCTTGAATGTGCTATGGACGCTGCCTCTGTTCACCCATAGCTCACTAACCTCTTCTACCAGCTTCGCGATGGCACTCAACTGTATTCTCCACTTTTGAACTCTCAGACATGATGCAGATTCTGTCCTAAACTTAGGTCTGCATTTTCATGCTGCAATGGAATGCTTTATTCTTTGGGTGCACAATGTCAAGAGGGAAGAGAAAAATATGAAAGCTGTGATTGATCATTTAAAACTTTTAAGTTACATAAACAGATATTATGCACAATTCAGTTAAGTTCCTATATAAAAGCGTCATTTAAACATATATTTTAAAAATCATCTTCAAAGGGGGCCTAATAGAAGTTAAAATAATTGCCATTTTGGAAAATCTGCTTATTCACTTTCTTGCTGAGAGTTTAGATGACAAGATCAATACCACTCTCACATCTGTCTTTTTACATATGACCAAGAAGATAGTTAGCTTAGCTTAGCATAAGGACTGGAAGCAAAATCTGCTGCCGACCAAGAAATAATTTAGTAGTTAACCTTCATATATCATTATCATTTATACTTTGTTTTGTACAAATTAAACAAACTAGATACAATATTTTTATTAGTGATCTGTAGAGGTGGTGTTACGACCTGTGTTTGGGTTGGGTTGGGTGTTCCTTCTCCCCCTCAGGTAGTGTCAAAACCACAAAATGTCAAGCTTCTGGTGGCACTGGAGGAAAAGTCAATAGGATTCATCCTCCGGTGACGATGTCTGTACAGTATGGCAGTCCATCAAATAGTTGAGATATTTCAGTCTAACCAAAGTGGCAGACCAAACCACCTGACATTGTCATGCATAGATGCTGCTGGCAAGTGAAGCAAAACTGTCATCAAAGTTATTTATTGCTGTAACAAAGATGGAGGCAAGTAAGATGGGAGTAGATGCATAACAAACTATAATGAATCTCCAGAAGATAAATGCAAATGTGATTTGATTCTCAAATACAGTAATTAAGGACTGGAACAAAAAAGTTGTCCGATGTTGTGCAATCACAGGCAAGTAATCCATAATCTGGGTGCTGAACAAGTGGTTCCCTCTGAGGATTTCAAAGAATGTGCCCAGAGGAATGTGTAAAGGGAAGCTGCAAGTGTGAGTCCTTCAGAGGTCATCTACATTTCCACAGGTACAGCAGTGTCGTGTTCAAATCCCATCTTTCCATGTCACATTTGCTTGGTTAACATCCCGTCTGAATGGGTGACAGCGGGAACTCCAGGCGTCACAGTGGAAACAGGAGGGATGTGATTTTTTTTTTTTAAGAGGTAAATACCAACATACTGTGGAGCTCAAATCTGCTAATTTTCATTACGTATCTGCACATTTGATAGTTTCTCTTTGAGAAATCTTTGCTTATTTCCTTATGTTTCAAAATAAAATCATGTGTGATAAATAACCATCAGTCCAGAGTATGGAGGCCCAGAGGCGCAAAACGCAAAACACATGAACAAAATAGTCAGTTATGTGTTTTCTTAAATGTAGTTGTTTTCTGATATGTTGACGTGTTTTCTAAAATGTTTTCATGTTCTATTTTGTTCATTTGTTTTCTCTAATTTTGTTGCGTTTTCAGAAATGTCATTGCATTTTATTTTTTGCTGCTTTGTTTTGGTCATTTGTTAATGAGTTTTGTGAAATGTGTTTTGTAAATTAATGCTTTTTATGAAATGTGATCACAGTATGTGGTAACCACACAGCAAGAAGCTCGTGGGTTTGAACCCTGGCCTTTCTGTGTGGAGTTTGCATGTTCTCCCCGTGTCTGCATGGGTTCTCCCCGGGTACCCCGGCTGCCTCCCACAGTCCAAAGACATGCAGGCTAGGTTAATTGGTGTCTCTAAATTGTGAAAAAAGTGTGTGTGTGGCTGGTTGTTTGTATATGTGTGGCCCTGCGAAGGATTTGCAACCTGTCCAGGGTGTACCCCGCCTTACGCCTGATGTCAGCTGGGATTGGCTCCAGCCCCCCGACCCTGTACACAGGGTAAGTGGTTGATGATGGATGGATGAAATGTCTATGATTTCAAAAATGTTATGTTTTCATTTTTTTTGTTTCGTCCAGTGTTGTTGTGTCTTGCCCCTTAGGACCACCGTAGAGTGACCATCCACACCAACACACCTCTCCTCCTCCTCCATCCCCCCTTCACAGTTTGCATTATAGATTAGTCACTCATTATAATCCACTGTGTCATTTTAATCTTGCATTGAGTGACGTTTTCAGTAACTCCTCCCCTCCTGGTCCTCTCTCTCCTGCTGTCTCCTCTGCACTCTGTCTACTCCTCTCATCCTGCCTGCTTAAGGTAAGTCTGCTCGGCTCTGTAATTAAAATAACCCCTAGATAGATCAGGAAGATGAATGAGCACTGTAAACATAAAAGTATTGTTTAGTGTGGTGATTAAAAGTAATCAATAAAACAAAACTGGTGTGATAAGCAATACTTCCTTTCATTCAATGTTGAATGACAGATCAACACCATCATTTACTGTGATGAATGTGTTATGTGTGTAAATTCAGTGTCTATGCATTGGATGTTTAATGTTCTGTATTTGACATAACTTAAACTGACCAAGACTAGCTTACTGGTTGTAAGAACTTGGGTATTTTTATCATATATTTATCAGTCCTTGGCTTTATACAATACTAAATTAACATTATTTGGCCGAATGTGTTCAAATAATGTTTTTAAGAACATTTTTTATTATTCTGGAGAATCAACAATATTGTGTACTTTAAATTTACCATGTCCAGTAAAATGTTTTGCTACTTGGATTAGGAAATAGAGTCGCAGCAATCAGTATTTTTTCATCCAGATGGTGGAAAACAGTCCTTCAGGATTCTGGAAATACCTTCAGAACTGCAACAAGTGTTATCAAACGATCTTCTGGGCTCTTCAGATATCACCAGGCATTTATTTTGCAAATAATCGGATGCTTAGCTCTGTGATTCAAATGCAACGGTTATGTATGAGGAACAAACTTGGGCTACACAGGGATATTCAGTTTTATAGGTAGTAGTAAGTAGATAATCTGCTGTTTTGTTACTGTATTGTGTCAAAGAGGTCTGCTCCACTAATGAGTAATAAATCACTCCA